GATGCAACACTTAATAACTGCTTATGAACCTACTCCCACTGAACGCTAAGTATTATTTCCTTCAATTCATTTTGGGTCTCTACCTGCTTGCAATTATAACTGCCTCTTTGTTGCATATTGGAAGCTACATTTTTAAGTTTCACTCTGAATCTTTAACCCATACTTGGACTAATCCTTAATTAGGACTGCTTTGCTTTTGCAAAACTCCTGCTGCTTGTTTCCTTTCAACAACTAACAACTTGCTAAGTTTTAAAGCTACGGTAACAGCTTTTTTCATTTCAATTAAAATAAAGAAAAAATGAATTCAACGTCTTTCTGCAGTTGTGTTCCATTTATTATTTGAATTAGCATAACAATTACAATTACTACATAAACATATACATGCAACATATCCCCAGATAGCTTAGAGCTGAGCGCACATTATTACCGAATGGCGCTCAGATCACATACATACAGTTCAATCGCCATGGAGCCAAAGTCTTTCCCATAGTCTTTCGTTACACGAATAGGCTCCATGGCATAGCTATCTGGGGTAGCACTACTCACATACTGAAAGTCCCGAACGCCCCGCCAGAAATAAACAAATAAACCTTTCTGCAGGGTAAAATACAGCTATCAGCACAGGGGCCATAGTCGGAAGCCAGTAGTCCCCTCCAGGCACAAGTGGCGAAGGGCACTTCGTCACAATTACCCCATGGCTGTATTAGGTTCTAGCAGACACATTTATATATAAATAAGATATATTAAACAAATACCCCTGGCTATATGAGATACTAGCAGACATATTCATAAATAAATAAAATATATTAAATAAATACCCCCTAGCTGTATTAGGTTCTAGCAGACACAAAGTTAAATATACATAAATCTACCTCTGACTATAGCCATTATGTGTGGCACTACCAGCCACTCATCTTTAGAATATGTTGACTTAAAGGGACACCCACAATGAAAACATGTATTCATTTATACTCCTTGCAAAAGTTGCAGATCTCTTGTCTGCAGCCTTTACAAGTCCTCCCCTTGTAACCCCGCCCAGACTTTCTGTGTCTGTCCAATCACTGAATTCCCAATGCAGCTCAATGAGAAGTCTTTGCAAGTCTCTGGACAATTGCAGCCTCTTGAGTTTAGCTCTACTGAGCTAACCAAACCAGGAAGTAACTGGACTTGATTGACAGCCAGGGGGTGTAACAAGGTTTATTTTTTAAAGTGACAATTTCTTTTGAAATCTGCATTTATGTAAAATGAAAAAAATGAGGGCACACTCTTCATACATAAAGCAATTCAGCAAACTGGAGTGAGTTATGTGTTTGGAGTGTTCCTTTGGGAAAATAAAAATAATAATACATAAATGAACATGTGTTGGTATCTTGAACCCACAAACAGCTTGATGGGAGACCTTCTCTTCCCTTACTCTACGTGGAGGAGTTCAAGGCTTAAAAACTTTAGAGTGGAATGGCAGGAACCCCATAGATGCAGGAGTAAGTCTGAACATGACCCAAAATATTTATGTTAATATCTTATTTGGAATTTGAATAAAAAATTGCCAATATTTGTGAATTTTATAATCTGGAGCTTAGTAGTGAATAAGCCCCATCATTTAGTGAATAACCGACTATATTAGTTAAAGGACCACTATAGGCACCCAGACCACTTCAGCTTAATGAAGTGGTCTGGGTGCCAGGTCCACCTAGGATTAACCCTTTCTGCTGTAGA